TTTTATTTATATAATATATCAACAAAAAAAAAAAGATTGAAAAAAAAGTCAATGCAAAGAAATGAATTTCATAATAATGTAAATTCGATCATAAAATAAATTAAGTTAAATTATTAAATTAAATTTAAAATAAGGAACAACCAATGTACACATATTAATTTTATATTAATGACCTTTTTATTATGAAATTAAAAAAAAAATATAATTATAAAAATTCAAATTTAATAAATCATATATAATATCTAAAGTCTTTATTTAATAATATTTATATGTTATGTAATATTTTGAATATATAAAATAAATTTAAAAAAATAAATACTATAGATTAAAAGTTATAAATTAGTTTTATATGTACTTAAAAAAGAATGTTGAAAAATAATATTCCGAACTTAAGCAAAATAATTGCGGACAATAAAAAAAATTCAATTTGTTTGTATATTTAAATATATACTCGTAAAATGGAGAAAATGAAATAAGTGTGCCATAAATTTCTAACATTGTGTCTCTATGTCTCCTCTCATACATAACAAATACCCCTACTTTGAATACACGTTTCATGGCCATTTTGTTTCTTTTCGCTGAATGGCTGAATAGGACCTTATTTCTATATACTCCATTGTAAGAACAATAAAAATTTATTGGTTTCACTTGAGTATAAATTAAATTTGGAACATAATTAAAGAAAAACACAAGTACTACGAACTATGAATATGCAGATATACATATATATTCGCTAATGGAAGAAATTTACACATTTTATGCAAAAATTTCATCTAAATAGTTTCTTAAGAACACTCTGAAAACTTATATAAATGGTTGCATAATTCACTTTAAAAAATGCAATGTCATTATTTATCATAGTATATATCACAAAAATGAGGTTCTAATAGTTAATATAATAAGCAAAGATTTTCCTTTTTTTACATAAAAAGAAGATTCTTGACTCTTGATTTGTATATCATATTACACAATAAAAATGATTGACCTGGCTTACCTGTATCACTTGGTGTGATATTACTGAGACGGTGTGTAAGAAAACCGCGTAAATTCGAGACTACACGTTGTGGCGAATTCGGCCCACTACCGATGGAAAAGCTACGTAGTTTGGAGAACAGGGCTGCGGGTTCACCACTGCCACTGCCTGTGGCGTTATTTGTACCCTCGTTGGACGCCACTGTCAATAATTTGTTACGTATTAAGTTTCTCTAAAAATTTGTATTCTTTTATGTTTAAAACTTTTATATAAAAATTGAAAAGAATCAATAATAATAGATCAGCACTTAATTTCGTTTAATTTTTGTTACTATCGGAGGGTAATTCTTTATGTTTTATCGTACACGTACACTTTCGCATCACATTCGCCACAAATCTATTGTTTTCAAATTCCGTAAATTCTTCCTAGCATTCCACTGCAGTTTTGTAAAACAAAAATTTTAAAATTTTTTTCAACAAATTTAATAAAATTAATTTTTTATTTTGTTCCAAAACTAAAATTTTTGTATTGAATTTTTAATATACATGTATATACAAATATATATATATCATGTATATAATAATATATTATCCTGTACACACACACTGAAGGTTGGAAAAAATAAAATTAAACCAGACGACCACCGTGCGTCGTCCAGGCCAGAGCAAAGGTAACTTCTGTCTGGCAGCGTGTGCAAGTTATACTCGTAACATGCCTGTGCTAACGAAAGCTACACCGTAGCAGTGCTTTACCACTCAGCCTGGAAATTTCGTACTAGTCTGTGCCTTGCGAACATGCTTAACCCAACTGCCACCCACCGATTTTCGTAGATACATTCCAAAGCGCGCTGTGTGAAAATTACGGGGGCATACGAAGGTGTACTGGTGTTAGACTTTGGGTTTGTGTGATTGTACGTTGTGCGCTCTCCTTTCTACAGTGTTCAGAGTTGTTTGGTATACAGGATATCGGCTAGGGGCATGCGCAATTCTTGTGGATTCATTATAATGAATGTATCAATTTGTGCGTCCATCCAATTGGCTTGGAGTGCTGGCGCTGTTCCCATGCATATTATTTTCACATAGTTGAGCACATTTGAATAATTTTCTTTGAACTTTTCTTCTTTGTTTTGTGGAAACTGCTAACGTGCTCATCTGTTTCATGGTTCTGCAGCGATCCCATATTTACTCAGGTATTTTTGAATGCAAGGTATACTTCCGACATTTCTTTCGTGAATACCTTAAATAAAGGTAACAACAAATAAAACACATATATATTAATTCATATAAATATACACACTAATTTACATAATGAATACTGATGATTTATTGTAATGTTATATATTTCAATCAATAATATAAATTTAAAATATTTATATTCATCAAAAATATAAAAATCATATTAAAAAAAACAACATTTTAATTATTGCTTTAACATTATTCTCAATTATAATGTCAGCATTTATTAAACATATAAAATATGAGTAATAATCTTTTAGTCAATACTAGAATATTTTTGGTAATATTTATTGCAGTCTACTAAATTTTTTTATTCATTACAATATATTCCCCAACAGTTAAAATATCAAATTTTTTATATAACCGCTACTTATACTATAAAAATTTGTATAGAGGATTAAGGAGGATTGTTATCTATTGTATATTTTTTAAAGTTTGTGTGTGTTTTTTTAATTAACATATATCTTAAAAAAACTTTTAAAATAAATTAATGTGAATGGAGCAAGTTTTTAAAGCCTATCCATTCAATAACAAAGAATGGACATGGGTTGTCTATACTGTTTTGTTTCTGCATGCCTACGATTATATCAAAGGGCTAAATATATAATATCTTGTCTGCCAACTAACATTCGTATTCAATAGCAGGCTCCAACTGATGCAATGCGCTTAAATCCATTCCTAAAGAGTCTAGAGTAGATATAAGACTCTGTCACAATATTAATTACGGACTAGACCTCCTCTGCTTGATCGCAAGTTACCGACTAATTATCTCTAAAAAGGAATTAGGAATATTAGGCTACGACCAACACGTTTTCAAATGATTGCTTTGTGATTTACACTGATAGATCTGCCGCAATAAAATATTTGGCAGGAGTATTTACTTTTTTGTGACTGGCAAGCAGCAATTGCATCCTTTGCTAGTGTATTCACAACATCTAAGTGTATTCACAACATCTTGTATTAGATATCATATATCATTAAACAAGATGTCAGGCTGATCTGAATTGGATTCTGGGGCAGAGGGATGTTACTGAAACTGTAATACCGACATCAAACATTTCTGTTGTAGAGGTTTGTTTACCTCCAGTCAAATTAGCTACACGTACAGAATATTTTAAAACAGCAAACCAAAGATTGCGTATATGACACCGATCAGTCTTTGATCTAAAAAGAGCAGAACATTGGAAGACATTTTTACCGAGTAAGGGCTATCTTTAACGATTAATGTCGCAGCTATGGATCAGTGAAGGAAAAAGAGATTATTACCAATCTGTTTTGTTGTCGGAACTCGCCAAAAGGTGCCGCTATCCAATCTAGGGTCTCCCTTTATGAAATGTCGGTTCCATATCACTTGCGCCTACAATCTTTTTGTCAATCCTTTTCTTTCTTCATGATTATTATACTCAAATATTGTCAGATTGTAGGTAAGGTACTGTTCATTTCTAATTCTGCCATTACGATCTTCGATTACTATGATATGATTTTTGTCAGCATCCAACAACATGTAAAATAATGTATTGTCTTCAGTATCCTAATTATTATGATTAGTTATGGTATCAAAAGACGTTTTATTTATTTAATACTTAGTTTTATATCAGTTTTATATTGTGCAATATTTTTGAAAGAATAGAGTTGTTATTTTTTGTTTTTATTTTTATTCTCAACATATTTGTTATATCATATCATATCATACGTATCATGCATACGAATTGATATCAACTTGTATTTTTTTTTTTTTGCATCATTTCAAATCATTTTGTAAACCATATTTCTTTTGATCCTTTAGGTTTGATCTATGAACTATGTTTATATATTGGACCATTATTTGATTTTAGGTAAGCTTCGGCGGGCAAGGCTGCCATAAGGATTAAGCATAACTTAACTCAGAATATACTTCAGTTTCAATTTTTTTTAATGATAGATTAAATTGAGAGTAATCTTGTCTTACACAAGATTCTCTTCTACGTCTAGCGTTGTTTAGGATATTTTTTGAAACTCTTTTCCATATACAGTCAAACTTCCAAAACTCGAAGTACCATTTTACAAAGGAAAGTTTCGATTTATGGAGAAATTTAAAAAAAACTATTGTGACATTTTAAGAAATTTATTTATTTGACATCAAATACAGCACAGAAATTTTAGTGAAGTGAAACATTCAGAAATTAGGATTTAGGTTTTTAATTTTTTTTCTTATTTTCAGTAAAAAAATATTCCAATTTATTCCAAACCTTATAGTGATCATCAGTTCGTTTGTAAATAAAAATTCAGAATTTTGAATGAACCCGAACCCTCATTATTACTTTCCGTTGCGCTTAGAATCGGGTCCACTAATTCGAAGCTATAATGCTCAATCTGTAGAAAAGGTTGATTTACCTATTTCTGTGTTAAGTTCAATATAATCGTTAAGAGTAGTATTGAAAGTTATTTTATTTACTTTAAATCACGCTGCCAATGACTGGCATTTGCACAAAGAAGCAACAGAAGAAAAAAAATTAAACGTTTGGTTTGGAAAAAGGGACTTCCCCTAACACCAAAATGGATTCATACTAAAGACAATAATTTGACTTATAGAATGCTTTTTCCCATATTAATATTAGCACATGACAATATTTTTATTTGATATAAAGTAATTCGAGTTATTGAAGTCCGAGTTATGGAAGCAGAATTGTATGTACGAGTTATAGAAAATTTGAGTTATAGAAGTTCGATTTATGGAAGTTTGATTGTATTTCATATTTTTATAATGTAAACATGTACATTATATACTTATAATTATTTCTGAATTGTTCTTTTGTCTTTTTCAAGTTGGGCTATAGTGTTCGCTCAAAATAAGTTAAATTATGCAATATTATATTTTTTTAAACAAACTTTGAAATATATTTGTTTGCATGCATTTTGAAGTATTTAAATGTTAGTGGCATAACTGTCATAAAATACACAATAAACGAATGGATTGAATGCACTTGGGACTAATAAACTACATATTTGTCAACTTTTTGCAATGTTTTTGTGCAATTTTATTACTTCTTCATTTTTCTTTTATGACTATGTGCAGTTTTTATTGCCACTTGTAATTTTATTGTGTTTTTTGACAACTTTTTATTGACATTTTCAATAAAATAGAAATAAAAATGCATTTAACCAACCCAGAAGAAAAACTATTTTATTTTGTCAAAATACTAGATATAAAAAATTGCATATATTAAGAATAGAAGAAACAAAACCAAAAACAAAAAATAAATATAAATAAAAATAAAAATAAAAAAGTAATTTGTACGGTAATTGCTAGGAATGAGGCCGATTTGTATCTGCTGACACTGTTACAATTCGAAACACACTTACGTGCACTTTTTGTATCTAAAAGTTTTTATTTCTCGCTTATGTATGCGCAGAGTGTAACGAGCAAAAAATAACAGATATGTAATTTTTCATTTTCAGTGCCGCATAACAGAGAATTGCACCAGAAATGCCAAATGTCCTTTGACTATGAGTATGACTATGTGTACTATGAGTGTTCATCAGAAATGACATGGACAAATACTTCATTTATCAGGCTTAGATTGATTCTCTACAAATATGATAAGGCAGTCAGTCACAAGTTCAAATTAAATGATCAAAATTATTTTGAAATTCAAGTTTAAATGCAGTAGTGATTTTAAAAGATTGTAAACGGAAATAGAAAAACTACAAACTACAAACTACATACGTGAAGCTGTAAGGATATTTATTTGGCATGCTAAAATACAAAATTTCATTTTAGTTTTTTAAGTGAAAATTTTCACATCCACTAAAATGTCATTTACATAAATGCAAATTTTTATTAAAAACTTTTTATCCTTTGCAGTTTTTTTTTTGTTTTTCATTAGTTTTATATAAGGCTAAAGGATATAACAAACTAAAAGTTTTATTTGTAATTTATGGCATAACATTAAGGCAATGTAATTGATTGTTGTGTGGGTGTCATGTGAACGTTCTCAACTGTACTGACTAACGAGAA